GTGAAAGTGTATATTTGAATGAGTTTTAGAATTCAATATGAGTTGATACAAGTGTTCATCTAAGGAGTAAGAAGCTGATGTAAAGCAGTTGAAACATGATGATGCAGCTGAGTTGAAGCAGTTCCTGTATCAGTGCAGAGTACTACAGGAAGTGCTACAAACGGACCGCTGATGGAGAAAGGGATCGGGCTTGAAGAGATGGGCTTGGGCTCATGACTTAAAGCCTTGGAGAATGAATCTACAAGTTAAGTGACAGAAAATATACTTAGCTTGGAGAGGATTTAGGAAGAAGAAGATTTCCATTTATCCTTAGCAAAGATTATGGTAAGATGGATATTCGGAAAGATTTGATATCTTCCAAAACTTGGAGAAGAAGGCTAGGGTTAGCCATCAAGTCCTATTGTGTCTAAATAGGAGTGAAAAAACGTGGGTGTACGTTTAACACAATTAGATCATATGTCTTAGCAAATGGGATTGGAGATCGTCTAGTAAAAAGAGATCTTCATTAAAGGGGCTAAGGGGTAGTGATAGGTTCACAAGATCATATGTGATTTGTGAATACGTAGGCTACGATTGAAGTTGATAAATGGAACTTATAAGTGTACTTATCGTTTGATATAGTAAAACGTTTTTGAGAAGAGAACCCCCTGTGTTATTGTTTTCGTTTCCTGTACCAGTACCTGTAGTACTCTCTGTAGCAGTATCTCTTGCACTTACACTACAGAATTCAAGAAACCATGAAGGCTTTTCTAAATAAGTTGTCACCTTAATATCAAAAATTTACCATTCCACTGAAAATAGTATTAGAAATTAACATTCCACTGAAATTAAGACCATATTTACATGAACCTGGCACATTTCTTCCAATAGTCATAGACTAAGGATTCGATACACCGTTTGAAATAACCCGACCCATTTTTTTTTATACATATAGCATTGAAACTCAATCCTCAAGCCTCACACTCACTAACGAGATTTCAGGATAAAAAACACAAGGAGATCAACAATGATTCATGTTCTTCACTCAATCCTCACAAAATCCCTAAAACTCTCTGTTTTTATGTCCAAACTTCTCAAAAACGCGACCCAATACGCAGCCCTCGACTTATATAGTCGAACCCTAGGGCTTTGCTAACCGAACGCCAACCCAAACGATTAAAAATCGAACTAACCCGGTTTAATTTTAGCTTGTGTTGACCGACACACACACCTTGTGTCGATCGACACACACACCTTGTGTCGATCGACGCAACACCCGAAATCGCGATTTTTCATAAGTCAACACACTGTGTCGATTGACACACACCCAGCGTCGATCGACGCACAGCCCAAAAATCCAATTTTTGGTTCACGGGCGTTACA